TAGACCATTTGTTTTATAGGTGATTGCAAAGCCTGGAAGTGTGAAAACATACAAGAAATTTGAGGCAGAGATATATGTACTTACAAAGGATGAAGGTGGTCGGCACACTGCTTTCTTCTCAAATTATATGCCTCAGTTTTACATGAGGACTGCTGACATCACCGGCAAAGTGGAATTGCCTGAAAATGTCAAGATGGTTATGCCCGGGGATAATGTTACTGCTACTTTTGAGTTGATGTCTCCAGTTCCCCTTGATGCAGGTGAATAAATTCTTCAGGCTTTTGGTTTTCTAAGCAAATATTCTTCTAGAATTTTCTGATTTCACTTGTTTTTACCCCCTTGAAGATGGACAATGATATATATGATGTCCATTATCATTAGAGAATTACAATTTGTTCTTCTTGCAGAAGATAAACTTTACAAAATCTCCTTTATTTTGTAAAGTTAATTTTAGTAGTCCAGTTGGTTGGCTACTTGAACTTTCACCTTGGTGTGGGTTCGATTCCCCACGTCGTAATCCCCTCCCCTATAAATATTTTAAAAAACATTAAATAAATAAAAACTCTAGAATAATCTCCTTTATTTTACCAAATCATCTCACTTGTAGTGGCTGATGGTGTTGCTTGTACAAGGGATTTGCCTTCGCTGTTATTTTTGTCTCATTATTGATGTGATGATCAATCCTTTTTCTCAAATAATTGGATTCATGGACTTGGTTCTCCCGTGTTGCTGCTCATAATCTTCATGGTACCTCATCATAGATTGAATCCTGTGAAGGATAACGCAATGGGGCTGACGAATTATATTATCTGAAGACTTGGGTATTGGATCAGTCATGATATTTCTTTGCTGAAGCTTGTGACCAGATCAGCCAACAAATATTCTTTTGGATAGTAGAACCAAATATTGTTCCTTTGGTCTTTGCCTTTGAAAAGAATAAAGTGAGGTGTTGAGTGTGTCTGATGTTATGGGGCAAATGTGATACTTTTTGGTAGCTTACCAAATGTTTTGACTTCTTTCTATCTGTTGTATCCTAACATACTCTTGGAAAGTTGTATGAATACTTGTTTCTCAATTTGGCCCATGTGTCCCGGTTCTCCCGGATAAGTGGATTTATAATTTAGAAATGATACTCAGTTTAAGTATTTTATCTAATATTGTAGAACAGGTCTGATTGTTTCAATGCTATCTGTGTACAATTTGCAGGACAAAGATTTGCTTTGAGGGAGGGTGGCAGAACGGTTGGCGCTGGTGTTGTTTCAAAAGTAATAAGCTGAGGATTCATGTTTTAGGGGGATTTTAGGTTCACTCTTGTTTATTCTCTAGACAGGTTGATGAAAGAAAGATTGATTGGTTCATTGTGGAAAATACAAGACTTGACAATTGCTGATGTAGTTTTCATTTGATGCAAGTAATTTTATGTCAGTGTCAAAAGAATCCAAGTCTTGACATTTGAATATACCAGCAAATGAGTCTACCTCGTTATACCTTCTAGGTCATCTATTTAAGCTAGAGCCCATAAATCACTTTTTTTTTTTTTTTTTTTTTTTTTGGTGTATTAATAATAATTTATGCTCTTTGCATTTGTTTAGAACTCCTTGCTAAGCTTCAAAGGTGTTTATTGCATTTGTTATTTGATTGTGCTGTATATGATCTGATGAGTAAGTTCTAAGCGTGATTTTGATACTTTTTCTTCACATCTGCTCAGGCTAGCACTCTCTTTGCCATTTCCATTTTTTTGTTGTTGATAATTTTGGCGTTGTTCAGCTTATGCGTGTCTCGGCTAATTCACCTAGCATTTGCTACCTACCTCGACCACAATAGTACTGGCCTACTGGGTAACATTGTTTACTTAGGTTTGAATAGATATGAAGAAATTATCTATGTAGCATTTTTCACATGGTAAGTAACAACAACATACCCAGTATAATCTCACATAGTAGAATTTGGGGAGGATAGTGTGTACGCAGACCTTACGTCTACCTTTGTGGAGGTAGACAGGTTGTTTCCAATAGACCCTCGGCTCAGGCAAGAATAGGTACCACAATAATAACAAGAAACAAGACGGGACAATACCGAAAAATTATGTAAAAGCAGCATACACAACAAGATAGTGTAAAATAAAAAAATGCAAATAAGCCTACTACCAACCAAATGTGAGAGTACGTACTAACACTATCGGTATGAATAATCTAGACTACTTAACCTACTTTACTAATCTTCGACCTCCACACCTTCTTCTCACGGGTCATGTCCTCGGCCAGCTATAGCTGCGCCATGTTATGCCTAATCACATCATCCCAACTCTTCTTCGGCCTACCTCTACCTCTCCTAAGGCCCTCCAATGTCAATCTCTCACACCTCCTTACCGGAGTGTCTGTGTTTCTCCTCCTCACATGTCCAAACCATCTAAGCCGTGCTTCCCGCATCTTGTCCTCAGTAGGGGCCACACTCACCTTGTCCCGAATAACTTCATTCCGAATCCTATCTAAATCTGGTGTGCCCGCACATCCATCTCAACATCCTCATCTCTGCTAACTTCATCTTCTGGAAGTGAGAGCTCTTGACTGGCCAACACTCAGCCCCATACAACATAGCCGGTCTGACCACCGCTCTATAAAACATACCTTTAAGTTTTGGTAGTACCTTCTTGTCACACAAAACACCGGACGCAAGTCTCCATTTCATCCATCCTGCCCCAATACGATGTGTGACATCTTCATCAATCTCCCCATCCCATTCTTAATTTTTTGTGGTTCAAGATCTACCCTTATTTTTGGTAAACATGGTCTAGAATAGATTTAGAGTCCAACTTACCTTTTATCATTATTTTCCTTAATAAGTTTTAAAATCAAAATGTTTGGAATTACTTTAATATGCTTTAAAGTTACCTGATTGTGTAGAAAAGAAAAGGTACACCGTCGATGGATATTAGTTAAACTCATTTTGACCATCCTTTGACCATCGAGTCTTTGCAAGAATACTTGTTCCAAACATTAAACAGACACTATAAATGTAAACCAAGTGCAAATAAATAAACAATAACATTCTCGATCTTAATTGCTCAATTCTAAAAGATCTTAATTATAATTAAAATGAGGAAGATAAATTTTACATTATCTGAGGCGGAGCCATGATTTTAAGTGTATGAGTTCTGAATTTTAAGACACGACAACGATCTCAAGTTAATATACAATAATAACAAAACAAGGAACGGGTACCAATATTTAATAATATATATTCAATAAGTAATGAACCATTTAAATACAATATATGAATATAAATATTATCATACAATTGCATTCGACGACTTATCATATTTTATAGAACGTTCAAGTTTCAATTCCTTCATTATTTATATAACAAACTAAATAATCATTTAAAATATTATCACCACTGTGAGTCATTTTAAATAAATTTTATCAAAAAAATCTTTTCATCGTTGAAATAGCGAAAGATAATATCAAACTTAAACAAATAACTAAGTCTCCATATCTTGTGCATATTTGTTTTAATAATTCACTGCATATGATAGTAGATGCATAGAAAGGCTTTTTTGCTTTCCTTTACGTTTTTCTTATTGATATGAATAAGGTTCTTTTTTAGCTAATATATGAAGAAGGTTATAAAAAGATGCAAAGTTCGCCTGCATAATGCACACATCCTTTTCTGGCCCGAACAAATATTGCTATACGAAACGACTTCTTTTATAAGAAAAGTTATTTGTAGTCTACTATTACAAATTGAATATCTCACTTTAATTTGACCTTGCACCATAAAACGAACAAAATAAAAAATGAAGATTTAAATTGCTTAATATTTGTTCATTAAACTTGTGAAGCCATATATAAAAAAACTAATATAAAAATCAGAAATAAAAAGAATAAAGAAGAAAAAAGAATATTAGAGATGAACCTTGAACAAAAACGTGACCAAACACTCTCTCATTCACTTTTCTTTTGATTTTGATAGGGAGAGTGGGCCTTCTTGGAGATTGTCTTTTTCTTCCTTACCTTAATTGATTTGTCGTTCTTTTTCTTCAAAAAAGAGATGGAAAACTTCGTTAAAAGGAACAAAGTTAAAAGTTAAAAGTTAAAAGGAACAAAGTGACAACGGGTTTCGCGAGACTCTATCTTCAGAACCCAGAGCCCTTGCCACTGAACCCAAAACCTCCTTGCTTCTGGGTTCGGCATTAAAATATTATATAGGTTTAGTGAAATTTTCAATATAATTACAGTGTCGGAGAAAAAGCCACTAGGTTCGCTCGAACCACACTCATTATTGTAGCTCCGCCCCTGATTATCAGTATAGTATAACCTATTGTAGTAAGATATTTTGTCTTATTTTTTCATAACTACGATTCATTAGTACCGGTTTTAGGGGACTGCTAAGAGGTATGCCAACTCGTTGGATGAGTAGTTCTTCCCATTCCAATAGAGTATGTCCACCGGACTTACAATAATCTAATAGTATATAATATTTCATGTTGTCAATATATACATGTAGAAAGTTAATCTAGAATAGATTATCACGTTGCTTATTGTAAAAGTTGCTACCATTGAAGTAATAATCTACTTAATATATTGATATTATATTTGATTTCTTCTTTTAGGCTTCAAAAATTAATGAGTTTCCATTTTGAGACAATCTCCAAAAGAAACCAAATCTTAACTTACCTTTTTAGGCGTGAGTAATATCTTGAAAATCGCATAACCTCATTATTAAAAAACCTAGCACTCCTCTTCATCATGTATTTGCTCTTTCTTCCTTTCTTCCATTGGCATTTTCATTATATTCATAGGTTAGTTTAATTTATTTTAATAACTCAAATATCCCCATGTTTCTTTAATGGTGAATTAATTGTCGATCTAATAACAAAATCATTGTGCAAAAAGAATTTGTATATGTTAAATATAAGTATATATATGTATATATCTTTGTTCTCACTAATCTCTCTTTTTATATTTACCAGTTGTTTTAGAGACCAGTAAATAATTTCCATGGAGCCCTTCGCAGACGTGGTAAGTGAAGAAACTTTTCTATCCCTTAGCTTTCAATTTTCTTGTATATTTGTAGTTATAGAAGATGTGTTTTGGAGCAATGATAAAGTTGTCTCCGTTTGACCTATAGGTCACGGGTTCGCCGTCCGAGCCGTGGAATTAGCCACTGATATCGGGTAGGTTGCCTACATCACACCTCTTGGGGTGCGGCCCTTCCCCGACCTTGCATGAACGCGGGATACTTTGTGCAGTGCACCGGGCTACCTTTTTTTCCAATTTTGTAGTTATAGTAAATTTTCTAAACTCCATTTTAGGGGGAGTATTTACCAAAATAAGCAAATTCGGAAAGTTTGGTTAAACATGCACTAGTATTATATGATGCGATTGTATAACCTCCAAGGTTCCAATGCTCTCATTGATTTTATTATTATTGTTATTATTTTTGCATTTCCGTTCAATTGCTTCTTTTTTGTTTTTGTGTTGTTTTCTAGAGTTGCACTTTGAAAGTGAATGTCAACTGCGATTCCTGTAAGATGAAAATGATGGAAGTGTTGCACTCTGTACGAGGTAATCAGTTACCTTTTTTATCTTGTAAATGACCGGTTTATATAAAAATCTTTTATAATGCCAGTGCATAAAGTCTAAACTTTTTGCAAATAAGTTTGAAAAAAATGAGTTGATTCTTGTCTAAAAGGAAGTTTTGAATTTTCATAAAGAATATTAAGAACATAGGCGAATGCACATGACAAGTGCGGTCACATCCGCTGTTTTTGACTTGAATTATATATATAAAATGGAAACTTAAAAAAATTATATTTATTTATTTATATTCAACTTATTGTCTGTTTGGCTAAACTTCTTTTGAGGTAAAAACGTTTTTTTTTTTTTTTTTTTTTTTTTTTTTTTTTTTTTTTTGTCAAAAGTGTTTTTTTTTCTAAAATTAAGGTGTTTGGCCAAGCTTTTGAAAGGAAAAAAATGCTTTTGAGGAGAAGCAGAAAAAAATAGTTTCTCCAAAAGCACTTTTGAAAAATACTTTTGAGAAAAATACACTTAGAAGCAGTTTTTTAAAGTTTGGCCAAACACCAATTGCTGCTCAAAAGTGTTTTTCAAATTAATTAGTTAAAAACAAACTGCTTCTCACCAAAAATAATTTTGAGAAAAGCACTTCTCAAAATAAACTGATTTACGTGATATAAGTTTGTTGATTCTTGATTTTGTATTCGCCTTTGTATAGGAGTATATGCATTGACAATAGATGGAGAACAAGGAATAGCAAATGTTTATGGGGAAGTGGATCCAAACAGATTGTTAATGGCATTGTCAAGGTCAGGACAACATGCAGAATTAATATCAGTGAAATTGAGACATCCAAATCTCACTCAAAGAAGTCACTATGGGCAAAATAATAGCTATGGCCATAACCATAATTATGGCCATGGCTATAATAATAATAACTATAGTGCAATAGATGGACCCTATGGCTACCACAATTCCAATGCATTGGCTGAGCCAAGTTCTTATTATTCTTCAAGAAGAGCCTTGGTCGATCAACCTTATTACGGTTCAAGCTACCACAACTCTTCTCCTTATACCAGCTATGATTCGTCGTCGTCTCTATACCAACCCGTTATTATTGATCATGTCATCAGAGAAGAACCTACGAACTGGTGCAGTATTTTGTGAGACAGATCCGATAGATAAATTAATTTGATGGTTCAATTATCCTTTAAGTGGTTTTTAGCACTGAACTCATCGTAATTTTAAAATTATGAGTTCAGAATTGAGTGTTTGTTGAACATTTGGTAATCATTCACATGTATATATATGTTGTGTTTTCAAATAATTCAACATAAACGCCATCCATTTTGTTGTGATGCCCTCATTTAATGTTTTGCATCATCTCTTTTTCTTTAGCTAGTTAGTTCTTCTTTTTAGTTCTTTTAGCAAGGTTGATATTTTGAGGAACTAATTAATCAGACGAGAAGAATTCCGTTTTACATGTGGCTAATAAAATAATAAATTTGCGGTTTAAGAATTTTTCAACAATTTGCTTGTGTAATTGGATATTGTCTTAATCATCATGTAAGTAATTAACTAAACAAAGTCAAATTAACTAGCATTTGTTTATCTAAAACTTAGTTACACTTGCTCTATCCTTTGCAAAGGGTCAACTTCAACGCAAATTTGAATATAGATTTTTGCTATAAATGCAGCTTAGATTGCTTTCAATGACGGTATAAAAAATATTTAAATACTTCCTCCGTCTCATATTATTTGTCATAATTCTCTTGTACACGCTCCTTAAGAAAAATTAACTAAGATGGAATTTTGAATACTTTACCCTTATTCATGTTTTAATATTTAACTTTCTTCATTGGTATTTGAACAAAGTTATCCATAATTGAGGTGTTTGTAGTCTTCAAGGATAATTATTACTAAGGGTTTAAAAGAAAAACGATTATCAATTTTGTCTTGAGCTTCTAAATTGACAAATAATTTGAGACAACTATTGTTAGTAACTACAACTGATAATATGAGACGAAGGGAGTACATTACTTAAAAGACACATCTATTTTAAGCATTGGCTGATAATCAGAAAATATGTTACCCTCTAAATTACATTGAATGGGCAAAAATCTTTTATAATTAATCATAAAACCTAAACCACATATTCTTTTTTCTATTAGTATATTTTTTGGTTTCTCGTGTAGACTTTCGTGCTCCTTTTAGAGTCCGGTCAATTTGGATTCGCAACGCATAAGGTCCATTAAAGGAAAAGTGCTTTCGAGTTCCGACTTCCGACTAGGGATTTTCTCATTTCCGGGATGAAATTAGGAGGTACACTGAAAAAGTAAGGATATATATCATAAGAATCTTTATTTTTATCTTTTAACATTTAATGTTATCCGGACTCTCAAAAAGTAGTCAAGGTGTAATTGCATAATCTGATTTCATATGTGCTTAATTCATCAAAGTCAACAGTTATGCGTAGTGCACACGCTTAAATTGGACATATTTTAAATTAACTTTTATAGGATAATTTATGCGATGAGATAATCAAATCTATCACTACTACTTAATTATAAAAAAGATCGAAATTCCACTAAAGCATACATTTGTATCCAACTAATGTACTGGTATTTTTACGGCGAGTTAATCCGAAATAAGTTGAAATTGGCTAATTAATTTTCACTATCCATATTATTATACTAGTATATCGTAGTTGAGATTTAAATCTATGACTTAAAGCAACTTTTGAGCCCCTTCTAATGCAAAACTAAAAGTGGTTGTTACCGGAATTTTTCGTGTTTTAGCTGGGGTATTTTTGTCCAAATATTTTTTCATGTAAAAAAGTAGCTAACTGCTAATACCTTTTTAAATACTGGCTAAACTCTAATACCTGGGTTTAAAAGTGACTATTTTTCAATTTCTTCCTCATATATTTGACTTCAAAAAATTTTAGTATTAAATTTATTTTGCTTTTAAAATTATACTCGATGTGAGTGAGTATAAATACTTAAAAGCTACATAGGCCACTGGCGTTTAAGAATTGAGAATTTTAATAGGGATATTAAAATAATTTTAATAATACTTTATTCTTCAACAAAAGTAAAAAATTCTAGACAAACAGGAAAAATCAATAAGGATATTAAAAGTGGATTACCATAGTTATTTAAGGATTGAGAATTTTGCCCATAATATGAGATATTAACTAAATAACAAAATCGAATATATTGGAATAATAGCCATTCTCATTGTAAGTTTTAGTCCAACAATTAAATCAAAAGCGACATGATACAATGGTTACTACTATCATTAATTAAGATATACATAGATTATTAACCTATTTCTCAAATTATCATATCAAGTTTGCCATGAAGATTTTACGTTGTAACATGTAAGTCAACTTATTTGATAGTATAAAAAGATTTATACATTATCGGTGCACAAAATATAAACTCCTATTATAAATTAAAGTCTGAATTTTATACACTAGTGATGTATAAAATATTCACAAAATAGATCAATTAAGGTAATTATACATAATCTCTATAATAAAATATTACTTAGTAACATAATAAAAACTTTAACTAACTTACTATAATAAGTGATTTATATTGATAGTTAAATCTTTATAGTATTAAGACTTATAATTATCATTGCTATTAATTCTTTCTTTAACAATAGAGGTATTCAGATTAATAGGGGCACATCTCAGTTATTATCCTATTAGTTTGGACACAATTCTACTATTTTACTTTTTGTGATATGACTTTGTAATCACAAAAATTTTATGACATGTACTAAATAACAAATTTTTATATGTTTTAAACGATAAATTTGTATTCAAATCGAGAGTCAACTTTTTAATTTTGGCCACCAAATTTTATAATTTTTAAAACAAAATTTATATATTTAAAAATAAATCATAATAATTAATAATTTAAAATATTTAAAATGTATTTCAAAAATTACCGTCATTTGACTCTCGAAATTGATAACTATATATA